GAACATTTTGGCCAATCTCACTGGGTGGTAAATGCCATCTATAAAACATTTTGTAAATGTTTTCTTTATAGGATGCTGATATTGTCAATTTATAATTTTCCCCACATACTTTTTCCCAGTGCTCCAATTCAATATTATACCTGAAGTTTTTAGCCCAAATTATAATTTTTTCCTTCACGGTTTCCTCCTCCATTTTGAATTTTAAGAGACAATTGTATGTTTTTGTAATCATTTTTTCTTCTATTCCTGTTACTATTTTGTCCAATTCTTGTTGTTCATTTTGAAATCCGTACTGTTCTAAATCCTTTTTGTATCTTGTTTGAATTTGTAGATTTAGCCACAAGCCTAATTCAATTCCCTGTAATTTTAACTCCTGGTTTGTTTTAAGTTTTCCTTGCCCATCCAATAACTCCTTTTATGTCAATATCCTGTTCAAATCTATTACTTTGGGGTAGATAATTGCTTCCATGGTTGATATCCATCTGGGAATTTTTGTGTAGAAGTTTCTTTTGATTTTCATCCATATTTCTAATAAGGCTCCTCTTACCTGATGTCTCTGGAAGTATTTATGGGCTTTACTCTTTCTCTCCCAGATAAAAGGCAAGCAAGCCCAGCTGTAAATTATGGCCCCCTATCATCGATATTTTTTTATTTTGGAATACTAGCCATTCTTTGAACCATGTTACCGCTGCTGCCTGATAGTAAAACTCCAATCTAGGAGGCCAAGTCCTCCTTTGATTCCAGAGTCCTGTAGCAATTTTAATTTGATCCTAGCTTTGTTCCCCAGCCAAATAAATTTTGAAATTATTTTATTTAGTTCCACAAAAAAAAAAAATTCCCTAATTTTACTGGTACAGTTTGGAATAGAAATATATTTTTTTGGTAGGATATTCATTTTTATGATCACAATTCTTCCAATCAGTGATAATTGTAATTTAGCCCAATTTTCCAAGTTCTTTCATATTTGTTGTAGTAATTTTGAATAATTGTCTTCTTTTATAGTAGAACATTCAGCCATTAGCCAGATTCCACATATTTTACCTTTTTAACTATTTGCATTTCCAATACTCTCTAATTCCTCATTTTGCCTTTGTAAGATTTTTAGTAATTATCTTAATTTTATTTTTATTTATTTTTAAGCCTGCAACTTTACCGAATTCATCTACTTCCTGAATTAATATTTCCCTGTTTCAAGGGAGTCTTCTATTACAAAAACCATATCATCCGTAAATGCCAGAGTTTTGTATTCTTCCTTTTTAATTTTTAACCCTTTTATTTCCTCTTTTTCTCTAATCTGTGTTAATTAAACCTCCAATGAGAGGATAAACAGAAGAGGTGATAGTGGGCATCCTTATCTGACCCCTTTATTTATAGTGACTTTCTCTGTTAGATCTTCATTCACCATTATTTTAGTTGTGTGGTTTGAATATATTGCCTCAGTCTTTCTAATAATTTTTTCTCCAAATCTCATAATAGCTAATTGTGTAATAAGAAATTGCCAATTTAAATTATCAAAAGCTTTTTGCCCATCTACCAATACTAATACTAATTGTTTCTCTGGTTGTGCTTCATAGTTCAGGTGAAACTCGAAAAATTAGAATATCATGCAAAAGTTCATTTATTTCAGTAATACAACTTAAAAGGTGAAACTAATGTATGAGATAAGACTCGTTACATGCAAAGCAAGATAGTTGAAACCATGATTTGTCATGGCTTGATTTGTTATTAGTTTCACCTTTTAAGTTGCATTACTGAAATAAATGAACTTTTGCACAATATTCTAATTTTTTGAGTTTCACCTGTATTCTAATACATTCATTATAATTCTTGTATTATTTCTCAATGATCTTTTGGGTTGGAATCCATTTTGATCCAAATTTTATTTAATATTTTAAAGTCTTTCCGCAATAATCATCATAAATATTTTATAGTCAACATTTAGCAGCGAGATTGACCTATAATTTTGGATCAATTATTTGTCTGTTTCTTCTTTTGGAATTAATGTTATAAATGCCACAGTCCATGAACTTGTTCTAATACTTCATTGTACAATTCTAACATGAATAATAAATTTTATATATATCTCCATGGAAATCCCATCTGGTCGTGGTGATTTACTATTTTCTTGTTTCTTTATTGCCTCCTTCATCTCTGTTAGAGTTATTTTCTCATTTAGCATTTCTCTTGCTCTTTCTGAAATACTTGGTAGGTTTCTCTCTTGCAAATAATTTTGGAGTCCTTTATCTGAGATGTTTTCCTGACTGCATAGAGTTTGAAAAAAGTTTTGGATTATATATTTTTACTTCTTCTCTCTTATGGAACAATTTTCCATCTTTATTTTGTCTTCCATCTTATTTGTATGTTGGTTTTGGTCCTTTCCTTGTTCTTGTCTTGGTTTGTGTTCTTGTCCTGGCTCCTTCTCTCTGCTGTCATTCTGTTTCCCTTTGGTCCCTTATATCTTGCTCCATAAGTTTTTCCTCTGATGTCTATTCTCCCTGGCTCTTACTTTCTGCTTCCTCTCTACTATCTTGTTTGTCTTCTCCTATTATATAGTGATCATAAAACTCCTGTGCCTTTTCCAGTGAGTTAATACAATTTTTTTTTTCCTGCCAGGTTATTAACATCCCCTCAGGGATAAGCCATCTAAACATCATTCTGTATTTGAGCAGTTGGGTCGATAGGAAATGGTAGTTTCTTCTCTGTTCCCTTATCCATTTTGGTATCTGCTTTAGTGTTATGATTTATTTTTCTTATAGACCAGAGGTTCTTCTCTTGTTTTGCTTAGACTTGGTCTCTTGTCTTTTTTCTTGTAAATCTTATATGTATCTCTCTTGGAAGTTTGTGTCTGTGTGCATAGTTTGTGTGGACCCTATATACTTCGTTCAAGTCATTTTCTGCTTCCTGCTTGCTTCTTTGCAGAAGTTCAGCCAGGAGTTCGGCCATTAACTTTGGAAGATCTTATTCCTTAGTTTCCAGTTCCTACTGAGGCTTGACTTTCGGAGGCCAATCCCCCACTGTAGGGAGGAGGAACCGATTAGGTGGTTCCACCCCAGGCACCTTATGACAACTCAGGGCTTTCAGACAGCGCTTGGCGTTGTTCCTGATACTCTCATCCACAGTCCAGTGGAGACCTTGGTTGCTGCTTGGAACTCAGCAGCGTCGGAGGCTCTCAACCGGATTGCGGTTGAGAGCAATGAAGAGCATTCGGAGACTTCAGCTTGTCCAGAATGCAGCCGCGCAAGCGATTGTGGGTGCACCCCGGTATACCCACATTACACTTATCCTCTGCGAGCTGCACTGGCTGCCCATTGGTCTCCGGATACACTTCAAGGTGCTAGTTGTCACTTATAAAGCCCTTCATGGTATTGGACCTGGGTACTTGAGAGACCGCCTGCTGCCAATTACCTCCCCCAGACCTATTAGATCCCACAGGGTAGGCCTCCTCCGAATACCATCTACCGGCCAATGCTGATTGGCTACCACCCGGAGGAGGGCCTTCTCTGTGGCTGCTCTGGCCCTCTGGAAGAAGCTCCCCATGGAGATTCGGACCCTCACCACCCTTCAGGCCTTCCGCAAAGCCCTTAAAACCTGGCTGTTCCAACAGGCCTGGGGTTGACGAGTTCCCGTCCCCGCTCGAACTGTGTGGTTGTTGATTGTTTTTAAATTATTTTGTAGTTGCTTGTTTGTTGTTTTTCCCCTTGTCTGTATTCCCTCCCTTGATTTGTGAGCCGCCCTGAGTCCCTCCGGGAATAGGGCAGCATATAAATGCAATAAATCCAAATCCAAATCCAAAATCCAGTATATTTTGGAATCTAAGATAAAATATTGATTTCTCCATCTCTAAATTTATAATGGCCTATTCCATTTCTTTGTTTATCACCATCATTTTACTTTCTGTTTTATCTTTTCTGTTTGTTCCATTCTAGCTTCCACTATTTTTATTTTTTGTTCATTTTGTGTTATTTTTTCCTGCATTGCACCAATTTTATCATCTAGTTTGCATACCTCCCCCATATCACTCTTAAGTTCTTCATGATTTTTTTTCATTACCTCCTGCATCTTCATCGTTGTCTCCTGAATTAATGTTAGGGTTGATTGCATGCTCTGTAGATTTATATTGGAGCCTGACTTCTCACCTCCTAACATGCTTTCCACTGAACATGGTCTTGATGGGGATGCTATTGTCACAGTTGTCTCCCCTCTATTTTGGTAACTGTGGTGGTTGTACTCGTCATTTTAATGTTTTTTAAAAAGTTTTTCCACAGTACCATATATCCCCATTTTCCCCCTTTATCTGCCTTTCTTTTTTGTCTCTACCTCACTTCCTCAAAATTCTTCTACCTACTTTACTATTATTATTGACCACAATATAGAACACCCTACATTATAATACAATCAATACCCTATTTATACAATTGATCAATACAATTAATAATCTAATAATAATTTAATGATGGTCTAACAGTTCTGACTACTAACATGAACACTGACACTAATCTTAATCTAATTGTTATTTAATGATAAGAAATATAAAAGCTATAGATATTGCATTTACTATGAATAATACTTATAATATAATACTTATATCCCAAGTTTAAGACTTTAAGTCTTCATGTAAAAATATAAATATAAATAAATATATGTATTTTTTACTTAATTATTAAATTACATTATAAAATATCTAGGATATATAAATATACTATATAAATATGCTATATAAGTCTTTATAAGTTTGCTTTCACATACGTATATGTCCACTGGGTATTATCTATGTATGAGAATATATATGTCAGAAAGTATAAAATATTAAAGGTGTTTAAGATATTCTATATAAAGTTCCAAGTCTAGTTTTAAATGAACAGCTATACAGTAACTAATATCTATACAGGATTTTATATAATTGTATCAGGTTACTTAGATTGCACAGATTTCCGGAAACTTGGAAAGTTCTTTTTCCTTATTCTTACTGTTGCATCAGCTTCTCCTCCCTTAATGTCCAGGATGTTGCCTATTTAGGAAAGTCACTATCACAGTTCTCTCACTTCCCCTGCCAGATCAAATCCCCACAGTCTTCTTCTCAGGTAGAAGCTTCTTATAGTTGGTTCTTTCCTTTCCTTGCAATCCGCAAAGTTTAGTCCCAGTCTAATCACAATCTCAGCTTGTGTTCCTTCTGCCTGTGGTAATTCTCCAGCAAGCTCAAGCCATCAGTACGCTTCCCCATTCCTTCTCTGTATGTTAACTCTGTCTTCTCAAGGCTCTGCTCCCACTGCTAAAGTGCTGCTTTTTTTCCGCCTTGGAGACTCACTCACCCTCCAAGCTATAGGTTCACACTTCCTGAAAGTCACACCAGTACTTCATTCCAACTCCTCGAACTCCATTGATACTTTCAGCTGTTTCCCTCTTCTTGCTTCCTATCTATATTTAAAGGGGTGTCATGCCTCCGGATCCAGCCATAAAGGCCAGTCTCTCCCATGCCGGATTTGAGAGATTTCTTCTACTATTGGGATTGGGGATTGCATCTCTACCTGTTATCCTCCAAGCTTCCGCTCTCTGTTGCTAGTCCCTCCTAGACCAAGCTCTTCCTTTGCAAGCCTCTGGGCATGGAAAATCGGGCAGAAAGAACAGAGCCTTGTTCTTCTGCTCTGTGCCGACATGACTCCACCCCAGAAGTCCGGGGCCTTAAACTTAAAGACTATTGAAATAAAGGAAATTCAAATGTTCCCATAATTATCAAAGGCATGTAACAGTTTGACATCTGCTTTATCCTATTGTCATATATTACTATACAATATGTTGATCTCATCTATATTTTACTTACTTGAAGATCAGGACAATAGGAAGCTTGCAAACTTTTCCTTCTTCTCAAAAAAGGGGGGAAATGAATCTTTGGCAATGAAAAATGTAGTCCTAATTCAGATAGATGAATTACATAGTTAGTTTCAAGTAAATGAAACACAAGAGGGACAGCTATATACTGATTATAAAACATAATAATATATGCTAGATAAACCTAAGAAAAAGCAAATGGAGCTGCCACAGCATGAATAAAATCCTGCAGGCTTACAGATTTTTAAGGTGATCCACTGGCTGGCCTCGTTTTTAAATAACAGACTTGTGCAAATTGGAATTCATATTCTCTCTAACCTGTTCTGTGTGGTTCCCATTTCTCTTTTGGTGCAATACTAAAAAACTATATCATGTTTTTTATTGGATTCCTTTTGCAGAATGTGATATTGAAGCAGAACTTGTTATCCTAACTGATTCCAGAAGTATCCCTGACAAAGAACTGAAAGCTGTGAAGGATTTTGTGATAAATTTGCTTAAGTCAATTATAAATAAAGACAATATTATAGTTGGGATGGCCCAATTCAGAAATACACTTCAAGAAGTATTCCAGCTTGGTGCTTATCAAAATCTACCAGAATTATATAGTAAAATCACTAATATGTCACTGATTACAGGGGGCTCCACATTGATTGGACATGCCCTCAAAGAAGTCAAAACCTTTTTCAAAACCAGCAAACAAAGAGTAGCTCGAAATGTTAACCAAAAGTTGCTCATATTTACTGATGGAAGATCAGATGATGAGTTTTTTCAAGCAGCAAACGATCTGAGAGATGAAGGTGTGGAAATCCATGCAGTTGCAGTAGGAAATGTGATGGATTCAAAACTTCTGCAGATTACGAGTCTCCCAAGCAGAAAACATAAGGTTGATGATTACAGTGATCTAAAAACACTTGTAAATCATGTAAAGAAGGAAATTTGTGAAGAGACTACTGAAGCAAGTAAGTTTCTTTCAGTTAAAATAAATGTTTGGTTACTTGCTTAATAATAGATTTTAGTTGCTAGTATTTGTTTCTTGTCAAATAACATCTCTTTTGTTATTTGGTTTGTTGGACAAAATCTAGAAATTTATTTGATTAAACATCTGCCTGCAAAAAGGACCTTGTCCTTTTCTAATTTTTTTTTCAAAACATTCTAGGCTGCAGAGTGAAAGAATGAATAAGGCAAAAAGATCTTGTTAAGCATAAGTAAACATTTCATTAAGCACCCATAAACATTTCTAATGTTTAATGTAATTAGGTAGATCAGATCATCTGTGGGTTTTTTTTCAGTGTTTTAGTGAATCTATTATTTATACTCTAATCATTTTTCCTATTACGGTCAAGGTAATTATATTCCATTGTTTGATTCTGGCATGTGATTTGAGAATGCTTTAAAGCTAATAGATAGGGATAAATTTTGAAACCACCTTACTAAGTAAAAATAACCATGCCAGCATTAAACTAAAGTAAAATTCACAAACTATTGAGAAATTAGTTGTGAAATATAAATAAGGACAAAATTCTATTAAAAATATTTAAGTAAAAGTTGAGCATGGTTGCTTGGAACCTCTGATCTTGGTTTTTTCTTGCAGATATTTCACTATTAAACTCAATAACATCATTAGCATTGGTAATGTTATCCAGTTTGGTAATGAAATATCTGCAAGAAAACAACCAATCTCAAAGAGTACCAAGAACCCCATAGTTCAATCCTGAAGTACAAATCTTCCCTTCTATCAGTTAGATATTTCAGAAAAGACTTCATTCCTCTGATATCAAATACAAGGAACTTTGTGGATTAGATTATAAAGTTTAGATAATTATTTCTTATTATTTCTTTAGATCTGTTTTTGACCATACTTATTAACCAAGTTCTACAAATCCACTGTTTTTAATTACTCTCAAAAATGTACTTGTATGATTCACATATAATTATCAGCTGAATGTGTTTAACTATAACATTTATAGAGTACTTATGAGTTGCATGAGTTGCTTATGTGACCATAGGGGTTACTTGCAATTTATACTACTATAACCTAATATTAATTTTATATGTATAGTTTAAGGAAAGGAGGGAGGGTCAGATGGTATCAAATGTTTCTGTTACAGTAGTGTACTGTAGCTCAATTCAAAGCATCGCATTTGGTTTACCTTTTTATACTGTTTCAATATAAAGATGGCCAAAATCTTTTAAGTCATGGTATGTTTAATGTAGCTACATGTAGCTGGCTATGTACAACCTGTCCACAGATACTTATCTAGATTACCCCTCAAGAAATGAGAAGAAATCAATTCTATTACAGTGTTAAATATTGTCACAATTTGTTTGAATTTAACTGCAAATATGGTTGACTTTTTTTTAATTTTCTGATGTTTTGCCTTTGTATTCATCTAAACAGCATGTTTTGTAGATATTATTATTGGATTTGATATATCATCTCAGAAGCCAGGAAACAATTTATTCAATAACCAACAACATTTGGAGATTCATCTTCCTGATATTGTAAAATACCTAACATCTTTAAGCAGCACAAGTTGCTCTAAGGGTAAAAAAGTACAATTCAGTGTGACTATTTCAGTAGAAAATACAAATGAACCTTTCTGGACACAATTCCATCATGTTCATGACCCAAATATAATAACAAAACTTAGAAACACTGTGGTCAACAGACCATCTCATCTCAACATCAACTTCTTGGATGCTATTTGGAATTTAGTTAAAAATGAGATTGACATAAAAAATCGAAACACGGTAATTTATTTTCATCTTAATAGTTTTTATTAAAATACTGCATTATATCAGATACCAATTTATTATTTAAATTGGTATAATTTAAGTTTCCTTAAATAATAATATTGCACTTCCTTAAAATTGCATTGCATGAATCAAAGTAGAGGAATTATAATCATTTTGATATATTGTATATTAAATTTTGTGTTTGGAATGATCCTTGAGCTAGTCATTTGCATTAAAACATTTTGAGAAAATTGGAACATTTATATAATAGCCTTTCATAATTTCAGTTTATGTTTTACAGGATGAATGAAATGATATAAATTTTTTGTTGTTTTCTGCAAACTTTACTATTGTGAAACAATGAAGAGTTAAACCGATATATATTTCAAGGTTGAATCTGAGTCAGTTACTGGGACAATAGATCTAGTCTAATCTAATCTCTAGTCCTGGTGACCAACCCAGAGTTGATTTGCAACATTATTCTTTGACATGTATGTTTGCCTTCATTCATGAGAATATATATATATTTGTACCATCAATGTTAAAAATGCAAGAAACCCCCATTGGCTGAAAATATTATATGTCAATCAATTTTCTTGAACAATCCCTAAATTAAAGATTTTGCTCATATTTCATCTCCATTTTTAATTAATTCAAAGACTACTTATGGCTATTTCAAACAATATATCTCTCTTTAAGATTATAAATGGCTTTATATACTCTCAACTGGTGCATTGGTTTGATAATAATTTCTTCTTATGTATTATGCTTTTTCTATTTCCAATATTTTATTTAAATAATTTTCAACAGAAGAAATGCATCTTCTTGTAATCTTTGTCAATGATGGTTTATTTAAGTGCATAATTTCTCTTTAAAGCTCATCATATTATTTGATGAATGAATCTGTATTATACTATATAGTTCTTGTTTTGGTTCCCTTGGTGTATGTCCCTATTTTAATCTCATTGTCCTTTTTTTTTTAGGTTTTACTTATTTTCTCAGATGGCTTGGATGATAATATAATAGCACTTAGACAAAAATCTGAACAGCTTAGAATACAAGGTAATCAGCAAATCAAATGTAATACTTTAGCTCAAACAGATGATTTACATTATTATTTCAAAAAGTCTTTTTTGTTGGAATTCATGGTTGCAAGTTCTCATCTGCCCTTCCTTGCTTAATCTAAAAATAACCTTATCTAGAAAATATTTTATTGAATAGAAATATTCAATTAAAAAGTTGAAAGAAGAAATTGTTTCACATTTAAAGGCAAGAGGTGAAGTGGTTATTTAGTAATTAAAAATGGAACAAATTCTAATAAAGGATTTTCATCTTATGAATAGCATTGCAAAATATCTTACTCTTGTACTATCTATTTATTAAAAATGTTACAATTTCAACACAATTTCTACCATATTAGAAGGATTCAACAACTGCAGTTATCCAGTCTGCGTCCATGTCATATCATATGCCAAGTTTCCTTGAAAATAAGACCCAGTCTTATTTTCTTTTGGGCTTGAAAATAAGCACAGGCTTAATTTTTTTGGGGGGGAGGGGAAGGTCTTTTTTTTTTAAGTACAAGAGGTAGTGAGCATTGAGGGAGGTGATGCTACCATTGGCCCTGCCCTGTCTGTCCCACTGTCTGCTTGCCTGTGACTGCAACGGGCCAAGCTCTCAGCATGCCTCGGCCTCCACCCACCCTGCCTGCTGACCCAGCTGCTGCTGGGACACTTCTTGCCTAAAGTGGGCACCATGCTAGCTACCAATGGTTGTCCATGCTGCTGCTAGCCTCATGAGGGCTCTTTGCCCTCCTGATGGCTGAGGCCTGCCGAGAGCTTGGCCCTGATTTAGGTGGTGGGCACACAGACAGTGGGATAGAAGGACATAGCCAGTGGTAACTGCCCAAACACTTTTTGCCCAGAGGGAGATGAAGCTTTGTCTGTTTGCAAATGAGATGCTTTGAAATAGAGCTAATTGCTCTGTTTCAAACCATCCCTTTGCAAGCACATGAAGCTTTGAGTCTCCATCATTTCTCTGTCTGGATGAAAAGTGTTTGTTCACCTATGGGGTGATTTGCTCCATTCCCAAACACCCCATAGGCAACTATTTTTTGCCTGGATAGAGAAATGATGGAGACTCAAAGCGGCATGTGCTTGCAAAGGGATGGTATGAAACAGAGTGATTAGCATCCCCTTTGCAAGCATACAAAGCTTCATCTCCCTCTGGGTGAAAAGTGCACAGCAGAGACAGGCAGAGGTGGTCCCAACATGTCACCCACTCCATCCCACCATCTCTCAGCTTGCCTGCAGCCATACCTAGCAGGCACTCATGGAGGACATCAGGACTACTTGCCTCCCCATCCCTCATGCCTCTACCTCCACCTGCTGCTGATGCCACCATTCAAACTTCACGCGAGCCTCCCATGAGTCAGGCAGTCATGCAGCATGTCCAGATTGCCTGTCTTCTCCCCCACCCTGCCTCTGCCTCCATGCTCAAGCTTACAGAAATTTATACTGTGCCCAGGGGCCAGCAGGCTGCAATTGCTGCCGGACACCATTGAGCCCCACGTGCTCACCACCTCTCGTGCTGGCCATGCCCATCCCCCATGCTTATTTTCAGGTAGGGCTTATATTAGGCCCAACCTAAAAAATCAGGCTAGTGCTTGTTTTCTGAGTGGGTCTTATTTTCAGGAAAACATGGGTAGATTTAAATGCATTCACTCCATTTATTATTATTCTTTTTAAACAAATATCCGCCAGGATATGAATTTTGGATGCAGCCATCCATGTGCTTCTAGACAATTTTCTATATATTTACCCTCTTTAAAGTTACAATTATGCACATCTAAAAAATTAGACCCATTGCTATATCAACACAGGGGGGAAAAGACAGCAAATTCTTATTCCAGATTATGAGTGGGCAAGTGTAGCTATCTGAATTATTCTGCTATCTTTATATTTGGTATAAGTGCCCAACTATTCCCAGGAATATGTAAAAAGGAATAATTTATAATAACCAAACAAGCAAATATTAAATATTGATAATATTTAATCAATATCAAATTATAATAATATCAAATTATTGATAATAATCACTGTTTCAAATAGGACTAGATGGACTAATAACAGTTGCTTTGGAAGGAGCCAAATATATTGATCAACTTCAGCATATTGAATTTGGAAAGGGATTTGGATATAACACTCAATTATTTATTGACACAGAAAATGTTGCTAAGAGGCTCTTTCAGTATGTGGTAAGTTCATAAGATAAAACCAATATATTAGATTTTGAGACTTAAAGGATCCTTTTTATGCCTGAGTAGCATAATATAATATAAGAGGCATCCACAGAAGAGAGCAAGGGAGAGCAATTGACAAAGGCAACTTTGCCTTTGCAAAACTGCAAATACTGCAACTTTTGAATGTGACATGAAATTGCCTACATGTATAGGTGAACGTTGCTTTTGTCATTTTGATAAAAGTCTTGGATACTGCAGACATCTCTAAGAATTAATATAAATGTGACAATAATAATACTCATATAATTTTAACTAACCAAATTTTCAAAGGATAAAATAATAATTTCTTCTCTTCAAGGACCAAATTGCTGAGCGAAAATGCTGCTGCATATTTTGTAGGTGTGAGGGAGAAGAAGGACCCCGTGGAGAAAGACGAGAAAAGGGGCACAAGGTAAATATATTATGCATCATTTAATTCTGATCGCAGTGTCATAGAGACTTGAACTGAAAACTTTACTTCAATTAGAAATTTAAGATTGTAGAAAATTAATAGTCTAGGCAAAAATAAAAATAATAAAGAGTATAACAATAGGACTATTGTAATAGTACTACAGTTTTATTATTGGTTTTTAGTTTATAAACAATACATTTCTTCACATTTATTTCTTCATAAAAATACAAATATACAAGAGTGTTAATGGTAATGTAAAAAAAATCAAGATTATGTCTGCAACTATGCAATCAAAGCCCCACACCTTTTCACATGTGGAGGCCATCTTCATTTTTTTTACCATCCTGCTTGACTCTGTATCCACCCATGCTGTTCACAACCAGACAACTGAAACAAGGAGGGATGTGTGTAGGTTTGGTATGCAGAGGAAGCTTGGGAGGGAATTGTGGAATGCAAGAGCTGACTGACACCTGGCATCATCCTAGTGCCCAAGGTCAAAAGATGAGAAAGCCCCAAACTCCAGACTGTTTCCCAAAACAAATTGGCTGAAATTGATTGGTGGACAATGTACAATGGGTGGCCCAGAGGAAGAAAGAGGATTTTATCTATGCAACTTTTTTGTGTGGAAACTCCAGACCTTGCGTTTTTTTCCTCTGTGCCCATGTGGACTTATCAATAAAATTATACTCTTGGTAAAATAATGTCCCAGGAGTTCCTTTTGCTGCATATGCCAATGGGATGGTCGACATTTACTCCCTTTCAGACACCCCTGCAAATTAATTAAGAGAAGCCAGAGTTAATTTATACTACAGTTGTAACTGTATGTGAGAAAGACGTTGAGAGACAAAGAGATGCTGCCTTGGGAATAAATCAGATAAGAGAAAGAGTAATCTGCAACTGCATAGTTTGTGAACTGAGAGAATCAAAAGAGAACATCCCTAAATTCTCATGCTGTAAAAATGACTATGGAAGAATTATACTTGAAGACTTGCAAGATTCTGTTGAAGCAGCTTTACAATAACATAGAATTAGCTCATCTTGTCATGTTTCCTGTTTGGTCTACCTGATAAAGCTGATGTCAGACTACCTATACTTAAATTATATTATTATTGCTTCAAAATAAATAAACAAATAAATAAATATTATTATTTATTAAATTAGTTTATTTCTAGGTTTGTTCCATAACTTTGTCTATAAATAATAGTTAAAGTTTCACATTACTTGGTGTATGGAACCATTTGTGAGATGATTCATAGAACAATGCAATACTTATCTGAAAATCAGTTAAAGGCCTTGGTCTAGATGCTATTATTCATACAGTACAGTGGAAATTGCCAATAAAGGAACTATATGATACTAGAAATTCTTGATAA